GAGCAATCCAATTAAGAATAATACTCATATTGCATAGATCCCTGAATCGCAGACATGCTTTAAACCCCTCCTCCTCTCCTCAGTGTCTTAAATGTAAAACTGATACAGGCACCCTACCACATTGTTTATGGTCATTTTCCAAATTACAAAGGTACTGGTCTAATGTTCTTCAAGAAATTGTAAAAATCCTAGGGGTCGACTTAGAATTGGACCCAGTTTCTTTCCTGTTAGGTCTCCCTAGTAGGCATGTTACTTCTGTGGGTAAGAGGAGGCTTTACAACATCCTTACCTTCGCAGCGAGGAAAAACATCCTCTTACAGTGGATTAGTGACAAGGTCCCTTCTATTAAAGATTGGCGTAAGATAATATTTGAATCAGTTCCATTGGAATATTTGACTTGTACATTACATTCTAAAACAGATCAGTTCTACAAAGTGTGGGGAAATGACCTAGATCCTGATTTATCAGCTATTATGCTGCAAGGATTTACTTAGAATGGTGGTTGTTTACTTGTCTAAGGATTACACTGTACATTCCATGTATTGGACCTAATTCCTTTATTTAAACTGGAGCTTTTGTGTTTAATTTCTTTCTGTTTGTTTGTTTAATTTTAATTTTAATTTTCTTTGTTATTTTAACTTTGTTACTGTATCTCTTAATGTGGGAGAAAATTGTGAAATTCCAATACAAATACTATTCCAATAATTACAGTAAAAATTAACATACACAATGTAAACGTGTATGTCAAAGTGTGTCAAATATGTAAGTTGAAAAGCATGTTAAAAGCACTGTGTGTGTGAGTATCCCCAGTGCTTAATTTGTAAATCTGAAAAAAAAGTGAACGCGAGAGGGGGGTGACCTGGGGAGTTCTGAGGTACCGGAACGCATGAGAAAAAAATATCACCTTTATAATAAAGCATTGCATGCATATCATCGCATTTGAGTAGTGGCATAGAGCAGTAGAGTAGAGACACTTACAGAAGTTGCACACATGGGGAACATTTTTAGTAGCCGAGGGTCCGGGAAAATGTTTGCCTTTTATAAACGCATTTCATGCAATTCTACATCATTTTACATGACTGGAGACTTTGGCAGAATCTTTTTTAATACCGCACAAATTATCGAAATGGCAGGTTACTTTGACGCTGACAAACTGAGAATCTGAGATCAATAAAAACGACCTTGTCTTGAATCCATCAATAGCCTAGTCCTAGGTGTGTGGAGACACATATTGTAGGCTGCAATATAAGGAAATTATAGTCCTAAAAATGCTTTCCAGTTTCACTGGATGTGCAGCTCACTCGCTGGTGATGGCCGATGCGTTCGTTGGAAGTTGATCAAATATTTTGGGAGCCTACAGCATAGAGTCTTCTCTTTTCATCATTAGCCATTTGCTTTCCAACCTGTGTTTCCCTCGATTGTATCAGAAATATTGCGAAAGGCCTGGTTTAAAAATAATAATAATTACTGACAGATTTGCCACGCGCTCCCGAATGTAGCCTATTCCTTGTTATTGGACTACAATCCACAGCTAGGCTATTCTTATTTTTTTTAAAGCTATTGATCCTCTGTCGCTAAATTATAGGCCTTCTCGTGGTGTAGTAGGTTATGTTGAATTATTTCATTTATTTCTGAACAGAGCAGTACTTCTATAACTTTGGCAAATGGATTTACATGCATCAGCAGCGCTGCAGTTCCTTCAGAACCCTTCGCGCGGCTATGCTTCTATAAGGCAATAAATGATGAAGTGCAACGCTGGAGAGATGAGTTGCAGGCTCATGTCTATCAGAGCAGAGAGGGAGCGAGATCATAGAAAGTTAATCTCATTCTAGTTATGTGAGAGATACTGGCGCGCTTCTCACACAGCCACGGCCACGCGTTGGTTTCAAACATAGGTTACAACGTTGCGCAAACCATAAACCTGGCCGCCCAACCCAAATCAACTCTTAGAATATTAGGCCTGGGCTGAAAATCTACTTTTTCACATTACGTTTTTTGTGGGGTCAGGAGAATTAATGAAGAGGCAACTCAAATTAACTTTGATCGCTTTTATTCGATAAAAATAATTTTCATGCCAGGAGAGGTACCGGATCTGGACAAATAGGTTCCGGAACAAAACAGCCTAAAACGGAGAGGTGCCGGGGAAGTTTGAGGAAGGCCCTTTCCTGTTTCAGCATGACAATATCCCCGTGCACAAAGCGAGGTCCATACAGAAATAGTTTGTCAAGATCGGTGTGGAAGAACCTGACTGGCCTGCACAGAGCCCTGACCTCAACCCCATCAAACACCTTTGGGAGGAAATTGAACACAGACTGCGAGCCAAGAATAATCACCCAACATCAATGCCCGACCTCACTAATGCTCTTGTGGCTGAATGGAAGCAAGTCCCCGCAGCAATGTTCCAACATCTAGTGTATGAAAAATTTATGAAAAATGTATGCACTCACTAAACTGTAAGTCGCTCTGGATAAGAACGTATGCTAAAGGACTAAAATGTAAATGTAAAATTAGTGGAAAGCCTTCCCAGAAGAGGGGAGGCTGTTTATAGCAGCAAAGGGGGGACCAACTACATATTAATGCCCATGATTTGTTGAATGAGATGTTCGATGAGCAGCTGTCCACATACTTTTGGTCATGTAGTCTCTTTCGTAACGTCTGAGATCCCCAGAGATTGGAAAGCTGCCGCGGTCATCCCCCTCTTCAAAGGGGGTGACACTCTAGATCCAAACTGTTACAGACCTATATCCATCCTGCCCTGCCTTTCGAAAGTTTTTTAAAGCCAAGTTAACAAACAGATCACCGACCATTTAGAATCCCACCGTACCTTCTCCGCTATGCAATCCGGTTTCCGAGCTGGTCATGGGTGCACCTCAGCCACGCTCAAGGTCCTAAACGATATTATAACTGCGATCGATAATAGACAGTACTGTGCAGCCGTCTTCATCGACCTGGCCAAGGCTTTCGACTCTGTCAACCACCGCATTCTTATTGGCAGACTAAATAGCCTTGGTTTCTCAAATGACTGCCTCGCCTGGTTCACCAACTACTTCTCAGTTCAATGTGTCAAATCGGAGGGCCTGTTGTCTGGACCTATGGCAGTCTCTATGGGGTGCCACAGGGTTCAATTCTTGGGCCAACTCTTTTCTCCATGTATATCAATGATGTCGCTCTTGCTGCTGGTGACTCTCAGATCCACCTCTATGCAGACGACACCATTTTGTATACATCTGGCCCTTCATTGGACACTGTGTTAACAAACCTCCAAACGAGCTTCAATGCCATACAACACTCCTTCCATAGCCTCCAACTGCTCTTAAACACTAGCAAAACTAAATGCATGCTCTTCAATCGAACGCTGCTGGCACCCGCCCACCCGACTAGAATCACTACTCTCGACCGGTCTGACCTAGAGTATGTGGACAACTACAAATACCTAGGTGTCTGGTTAGACTGTAAACTCTCCTTCCAGACTCACATTAAGCATCTCCAATCCAAAGTTAAATCTAGAATTGGCTTCCTATTTTGCAACAAAGCCTCCTTCACTCATGCTGCCAAACATGCCCTCGTAAAACTGACTATCCTACCGATCTTTGACTTCGGCGATGTCATTTACAAAATAGCCTCCAACACTCTACTCAGCAAATTGGATGTAGTCTATCACAGTGCCATCCGTTTTGTCACCAAAGCCCCATATACTACCCACCACTGTGACCTGTACACTCTTGTTGGCTGGTCCTCACTACAAATTCGTCGCCAAACCCACTGGCTCCAGGCCATCTATAAATCACTGCTAGGCAAATCTCCGCCTTATCTTAGCTCATTGGTCACCATAGCAACACCCACCCGTAGTATGCGCTCCAGCAGGTATATCTCACTGGTCATCCCCAAAGCCAACACCTCCTTTGGCCGCCATTCCTTCCAGTTCTCTGCTGCCAATGACTGGAACGAACTGCAAAAATCTCTGAAGCTGGAGACACTTATCTCCCTCACTAACTTTAAGCATCAGTTGTCAGAGCACCTTACCGATCACTGCACCTGTACACAGCCCTTCTGAAATTAGCCCACTCAACTACCTCATCCCCATATTGTTATTTATTTTGCTCATTTGCACCCCAGTATCTCTATTTGCACATCTATCATTCCAGTGTTAATACTAATTGTAATTATTTTGCACTATGGCCTATTTTTTGCCTTACCTCCATAACTTGCTAAATTTTCTGTGGTATTTTTGACTTTATGTTTTGTTTTACCCCATATGTAACTCTGTTGTTGTTGTTTTTATCACACTGCTTTGCTTTATCTTGGCCAGGTCGCAGTTGTAAATGAGAACTTGTTCTCAACTGGTTTACCTGGTTAAATAAAGGTGAAATAAAAATAAAGTAGTGTATGTTTGATGTGACGTTGATGGAATATCTCCTAACACTTAGAAAACTGGACACAGGATTGTTCTTGCAACTTCCCATAAAATGTCTAGGACATTAATGTTGTATATTCTGAGAACATTCTAACCACATTGCTATATAGAAAGGTTCTCAGAAGGTTTTTGCTAACATAAATAAAATGTTCCCTTAACAATTGCTAAACTGGACACTCAAACATTACAAAAATGTTCTCTCTCCCTAGAATTAACAGGAAGTTGGTGGCACCTTGGGGAGGACTGGGTCATAGTAATGGCTGGAATGGAATAAATGATACCATCCCATTCACTCCATTCCAGCCATTATCATGAGGCGTCCTACCCTCAGCAGCCTCCTGTGCTAGAATTGTTAGCTGGGTAGTGCCTGGTCTCAGGGTTTGCAGGCTTGTAGCAACCCTTTACTAACACACTGGATTCAACAAATCTAGTAATCATCCACACCATGCTTAGCTGAATCAGGTATTTTAGTGCTGGTATGGATCAAAAGTCTAGGATCAAATACTGGAGTTGTTGCCCATGCCTTCAGGAGATATTTAGAGAGATTTAACAGAAGACTGTGTGTTTCCTTCTCTGTCTCCTGCAGGGGGAGTTGCTGAGCCCGTGTCGCTGTGACGGATCTGTGCGCTGTACCCACCAACCCTGCCTCATCCGCTGGATCAGCGAGAGAGGCTCTTGGAGCTGTGAGCTCTGCTACTTCAAGTACCAGGTCCTTGCCATCAGCACCAAGAACCCACTGCAGGTACAGGGTGTGTGTGTGTGCATGCGTGTGTTTGTGTGTCTACAAGTACTGCCCCATACCTCAGGGGTTCTATATCAAATCCAATGTATTGTGTGAATGCTAAGCATATCATCCCACTCTAATGCTCCCAAAATACTTACAAATATAACAAAACAAATCGTCTTGCCTGTGGCTGCATGACAGTGCACAGATCATTATCTCCACCAAAAAAAGACACACATTGATCCACCACCTCCCCTCTCTCCCTCCAACCCCCCTCTCTTTCACCCTGTCTCTCTCCCTGTCCCTTTATCTCTCTCTCTCTCTCTCCCTCCACCCCATCCCCTCTCTCTCTCCCTCAACCTCCCCTTCTCTCTCTCCAGTGGCAAGCCATCTCTCTGACGGTGATAGAGAAGGTGCAGATAGCAGCCATTATACTGGGTTCTCTGTTCCTCATCGCCAGCATCTCCTGGCTGGTGTGGTCGTCCCTCAGCCCCTCGGCCAAGTGGCAGCGCCAGGACCTGCTCTTCCAGATCTGCTACGGCATGTACGGCTTCATGGACATCGTGTGCATAGGTAAGCTAGACGGTTCTATGACGTAGACCTCACCGACATACTATCAAAGATAATCATACGCTTTTGTGATTGCAATTGCAGGTATGGGTGTAGAGTTGCGTATGAAAAAAAAGGAGAATACCTCCATGCTCCCAGAGTTTGAATGTAGGAATTGTGGTTGAAACGTTCCAGTGTTACAGTAAGACTTGAGGTGTGTGTGTGTGTGTGTGTGTGTGTGATAGAGAGAGTAGGTGAGTAAGAGCAATTTGTTTGTTTCTCAGAGAGGCCGTAGCCTGTGCAATATGTCTCAGCTGAAAATGTACAGATTTGTACATCCAGACTGTTTAAATATTTACAGCACACTTGTGCAAAGGTAGCCTACGATAATTTCAGCTTTAAAGTGTTTTTTTCTTACTTTCTCGCCCGTCTCTCTTTCTCTGTGTCCTTTCATCTGTTTCCCTCTTTGTCTTCACATTCTGCAATCTTTCACCTCTCTCTGTCTGCTTGCCTCGCTCCTCCCTCCATCTCTCTTCTATTCACTGTCTCTCTTTCTCCTACCACTTGTATCACTCCTGCTTCTCTCACTTTCATACCTGTCCTCTCTCTCTTCTCCCTCTTGCTCTTGCTCTTTCTCTCACTCTCTCTCTTACTCCCCCCCACTTTTCATGTCTGTCTGGATTCTCTCTCCAGGCCTTATAATCCACGAGGGATCGTCAGTATACCGGATCTTTAAGCGCTGGCAGGCAGTGAACCAGCAGTGGAAAGTACTGAACTATGAGAAAGCCAAGGACCTGGGCGACCCCATCAGCTCCAGCAGCAAGGGTGGGGGTCAAAACCCTCCCCATGGCTCGGCCGGGGCGGACAGGGGGGGCCGGACAGGCCAGCGTGTTAGGACTATTCTCAACCACCACTTTGGCTACACCATCCTGCACATCCTCAGCCAGCTGAGGCCCAGCAACCCGCGCATCAGCGCCACATCCAACCGCGAGGTGGTCATGAGGGTCACCACCGTATGAGACCGGACCCCACGGTGGGGGGGGGGGGGGTTGCAGCGGAGGTGGGCAGGAAGGGAGGGGAGAACGTGGACAACAGCCAACAACCCCCCGACCCACCTCTTCAAAAAAAACAAATTACTCTCACACTTCACCCCCCCACCCCCCCCCGCGCTGATTGTCTCCCTAAGCCCAAAGTGTGGTGCAGTGAGAGGGAACAAACACAAGGGCATGGATGCAGACATCCTGCTCCTGATAAACCCACCCTACGAGACACGAGGGGAGGGAGAGCAGCACAGTTAAAGGGTTGCTGAAGTTACAGTCACAGACTGTAGGACAAAACCATTCATAAAAAATTTAACAAAAAAAAGAAACGGCTTCGATAAAAAAATTTGAAAAGCTGGAGGGCTTTCTTTCGCCAGCTGAATTACACAAAGCATTGTAATTATTCCTGTTCTTCTGTTTTCTAAAGAAAAAACAGCAAGTATTGTTACTGATTTAGATTTTATAATCGAGAACATGTTAAGGAGGAAAAATGGAAAGGGACAATTTCTTACATCTGTCCCCCCAAACCCATACCACCAATGATGACTCACATCTCCTCCCCCTCCTCAACTCCTCCCGTCCCAGTATCCCCATAACCCCCCCCCCCCCCCCCCCCCCCCCCCCCCCCCCCCCCCCCCCTGGGAACCACCAGACTGGGAACCACCTAAAGAATGAGCAAATAGAGTGCAATAAAACAGTTTAAAGAGATATGACTGACACAACTTAATAAACGAGATTCCAACATTTAAATTCATCTTCTGCAATAAAGAAACATGTACATGTCATGGTGAACCCCTGTGTGATGTCATAGCTTTATTGTATACAATGTTTGGTATCAATATAGTATGTTGTACTGTTTTCCTAATTTACTGTGTGAAGTTGTGTGATTGGTACCTGGGAATATTTCAGTATTTGTTGAGGTTAGGTAAGCAACAATAATTAGAGTTGATCACCTGGAACAGATTGTATTTTTCTTTCATGGTTTGAATGAAATATAAATCAAATCAAATGTTATTTGCCACATGCGCCGAATACAACAGGTGTAACATTACAGTGAGCCATTAACCAACAATGCAGTTTTTAAGAAAAAAATTATAATAATTAAAGAGCAGCAGTAAAATAAAATAACAGTAGGGAGGCTATATACAGGGAGTACCGGTACAGAGTCAATGTGCGGGGGCACCGGTTAGTCGAGGTAATTGAGGTAATATGTACATGTGGGTAGAGTTAAAGCGACTATGCATAAATAATGTGGTCCTCTGTAGCTCAGCTGGTAGAGCACGGCGCTTGTAACGCCAAGGTAGTGGGTTCGATCCCCGGGACCACCCATACACAAAAAAAAAAAAAAAAAATGTATGCACGCATGACTGTAAGTCGCTTTGGATAAAAGCGTCTGCTAAATGGCATATTATTATTATTATAATAATAAACAGAGTAGCAGCAGCCTAAAAGAGGGGGTTGGGGTGGGGTGGGGGGCAATGCAAATAGTCCGGGTAGCCATGATTAGCTGTTCAGGAGTCTTATGGCTTGGGGGTAGAAGCTGTTAAGAAGCCTTTTGGACCTAGACTTGGCGCTCCGGTACCGCTTGCCGTGCAGTAGCAGAGAGAACAGTCTATGACTTGGGTGGCTGGAGTCTTTGACAATTTTTAGAGCCTTCCCCTGACACCGCCTGGTATAGAGGTCCTGGATGGCAGGAAGCTTGGCCCCAGTGATGTAGTGGGCCGTACGCACTACCCTCTGTAGTGCTTTGCGGTCGGAGGCTGAGCAGTTGCCATACCAGGCGGTGATGCAACCAGTCAGGATGCTAACGATGGTGCAGGTGTGGAACTTTTTGAGGATCTGAGGACCCATGCCAAATCTTTTCAGTCTCCTGAGGGGGAATAGGCTTTGTCGTGCCCTCTTCATGACTGTCTTGGTGTGTTTGGACCATGATAGTTTGTTGGTGATGTGGACACCAAGGAACTTGAAGCTCTCAACCTGTTCCACTACAGCCCCGTCGATGAGAATGGGGGGACTGAGCACGCACCCCTGGGTGGCCCCCGTGTTGAGGATCAGCGTGGCAGATGTGTTGTTACCTACCCTTACCACCTGGGTGCGGCCTGTCAGGAAGTCCATGATCCAGTTACAGAGAGAGGTGTTTAGTCCCAGGGTCCTTAGCTTAGTGATGAGCTTTGAGGGCACTATGGTGTTGAACGCTGAGCTGTAGTCAATGAATGGCATTCTCACGTAGGTGTTCCTCTTGTCCAGGTGGGAAAGGGCAGTGTGGAGTGCAATAGAGATTGCATCATCTGTGGATCTGTTGGGGCGGTATGCAAATTGTAGTGGGTCTAGGGTTTCTGGGATAATGGTGTTGATGTGAGCCATGACCAGCCTTTCAAAGCATTTCATGGCTACAGACGTGAGTGCTACGGGTCGGTAGTCATTTAGGCAGGTTATCTTAGTGTTCTTGGGCACAGGGACTATGGTGGTCTGCTTGAAACATGTTGGTATTACTGACTCAGTCAGGGACATGTTGAAAATGTCAGTGAAGACACTTGCCAGTTGGTCAGTGTATGCTCGGAGTACACGTCCTGGTAATCCGTCTGGCCCTGCGGCCTTGTGAATGTTGACCTGCTTAAAAGTCTTACTCACATCGGCTACAGAGAGCGTGATCATATAGTCATCCGGAACAGCTGATGCTCTCATGCATGCTTCAGTGTTGTTTGCCTCGAAGCGAGCACAGAAGTGATTTATCTCGTCTGGTAGGCTTGTTTCACTGGACAGCTCGCGGCTGTGCTTCCCTTTGTAGTCTGTAATAGTTTTCAAGCCCTGCCACATCCGACAAGCGTCAGAGCCGGTGTAGTACGATTCAATCTTAGTCCTGTATTGACTTTTTGACTGCTTGATGGTTTGTCGGAGGGCATAGCGGGATTTCTTATAAGCGTCCGGGTTAGAGTCCCGCTCCTTGAAAGTGGCAGCTCTACCCTTTAGCTCAGTGCAGATGTTGCTAATATAGGCTTGGCGATGCTGAGAAAATGTTTTTTCCAGTGCTACAGAAGGCCTAGTGCACTCATTATTTTTTAAATTCAGATTTATTTTAAATTCAGATTTTTCAGGGGGTGCTGCAGCACCTTCAGCACCCCTACTTCCCAGGGCTATGGGCTTACCTCCATCGACTGGAATTTACATGGAATTACCCCATCTGCAAATGGGTATGGTAAGTATTCAATTGCAGAATTGTGTGAATGATATTAAGGTCTTTCACAACAGAAATGTTGAAGCTTTGTGAACCCTCTATTACCACATTGTCTGGAGTCTGACTGTAGTTTACAAAATGCAAGAGAATGCTATGTGGAGTAGGCCAACAGATGGTGACAAAATGACCAATATAAAACACTGATGGTCTGAATTGGGTTTCTAAGGGCAGCAATACGCATTTTGATTCCATTAATATAATTAAAGGTGAAAAATGCAGAAATCGCAGACCTGGTTGCTAAATTTTTATAGTTCACCTGATTTCAGTTTATGTGACAAAACAAGAGAATCATTGTACCATCTAAACCGCTGTGGATTATCTTTTCAATAACCAAAAATATTGTATTTTCAGCTGTTTGAAGCTGGGGCGGCAGGTAGCCTAGCGGGTAAGTGTGTTGGGCCAGTAACTGAAAAGTCACTGGTTCAAATCTCTGAGCCGACTAGGTGAAAAATCTGTTGATGTGCCCTTGAGCAAGAAACTTAACTCTAATTGCTCCTGTATGTCGCTCTGGATAAGAATGACTGAAATGTAAATATTTGTATTTATTATGGATCCCCATTAGCTGCTGCCAAGGCAGAATATACTATTCCTGGGGTCCAGCAAAATTAAAGCAGTTATTAACAATTAAAAACATTACACTAGATTTCACAACATTAAGTGTGTGCCCTCAGGCCACTACTTTACTACCACATATCTAGAAAACAAAATCGATGTGTACGTGTGTGTATAGTCTGTACGTTATCGTGTGTGTCTGTGCCTGTGTGTGTGTCTCTTCACAGTCTCCGCTGTTCCATAAGGTATATTTTTATCTGTTTTCTAAATCTGATTTTAATGTTTGCATGAGTTACTTGATGTGGAACAGAGTTCCATGTCATGGTTTTATGTAGTACTGTGTGCCTCCCATAGTCTGTTCTGGACTTGGGGACTGGGAAGAGACCTCTGGTGGCATGTCTTGTGGGGTATGCATGGGTGTCTGAGCTTTGTGCTAGTTGTTCAAACAGACAGCTCGGTGCGTTCAACATGTCAATACTTATCACAAACATAAGTAGTGATGAAGTCAATCTCTCCTCTACTTTGAGCCAGGAGAGATGGACATGCATATTGTTAATGTTAGCTCTCTGTGTACATTTAAGGGCCAGCCGTGCTGCCCTGTTCTGGGCCCATTGTAATTTTCCCAAGTCCCTCTATGTCCCACCTGACCACAAGACTGGACAGTAGTCCAGGTGCGACAAAACTAAGGCCTGTAGGACCTGCCTTGTTGATAGCGATGTTAAGAAAGCAGAGTAACGTTTTATTATGGACAGACCTCTCCCCATATTAGCTACTGTTGTATCAATATGTTTTGACCATGACAGTTTACAATCCAGGGTTACTCAATTTCCACATTATTTCCACATTATTCATTACAAGATTTACACTGAACAAAAACATAAACGTAACATGCAACAATTTCAAAGATTTACAGTCAAATTGAAATCAGTCAAATTGAAATAAATTCATTAGGGCCTAATCCACAATCTTTTTATTATCAATTTCTCTCAGCCAATCATCAGTCATTTGTGTAAGTGCCATACATGTTGAAAGCCCTTCCCTAAAAGCGTGCTGAAAGTCTGTTGTTAATTTGTTGATTTGTTTACTGTGAAATAGCATTTTATCTGGTCAAACACCATTTTTTCAAAAGTTTACTAAGGGTTGTAAACAGACTGATTGGTCAGCTGTTTGAGCCAGTAAAGGGTGCTTTGCT